ATTCTTTAGATGTTTTCCAGCTTTCATTGTCATTGTATGGCATTTAAATCCTCTCACAAGGTGATTGTGGGCCTACTTATGCATCATTGTTTGGAATAGCTTAACCACATATTTGGCTGAAACTTAGCTGAGTATCCTTCTGCCATGCATGGCCATTGTAAAAATAGTAAGCACAACTTCTTTCATATGCGACTTAAAAAGGAATACTGATGTCTGTTTTTAGGGTAATTCCTTCTTGCCAGTTGATTGACTTTTTATACCGACTTTATCGATTGATTTGGCTTCATTAGATGTCAATGGCTAGTATGCACATATCTCATTAGTATCTCTGCCAATGAGTTCGCAACACATCATTCTGTATAAAACCTTGAGCTGCAGACTTCGGTGTCTTAAACCCTGCACCTGTTGAAGAAACTTATCTGGATCATTCTATTCGTTAAGAATTGTTTTGATTCGTGCTGAAAGCGCATAACCGTGAAGGAGGAGCAAGTGAATTTGTAGTTTGTTCTCTTTTTCTACTTATATACTCTCCACTTTCCTCTAAGATGCTAATATATAGCATTTGTGTAAACCTTCAGAATAAGAGCATGTTTTAAAATTTATCCTACCCTCAATTCTAAGGCTTTTTAAAGTTCCAGGCTAAGGAAACACATTGTTACCGCTTACAAAGGCTTAAAGTGACAAAACTACTCTTTTGAGTCTCTTGTGAATTAGAATGCCAAAACATTTACACCTTGGTGGGGTCTGCTTAATTGATAGTATGTATGATCAGCGGGCCGTAGTAGGATAAATCATGATAAAACTTGATCTTAGTTGTTTTCAGAGTTACCGCTTTACCCTTTTTTCTTCATTACTCACCTCTAGAGACATCAAATCTGTCCATGACAATCAGGAACAAACCAATCATTTTTTTGGGAACCCTTTACAGGTGGTGTCATTTTCCCTTATCTGCCAATGCTCTGCATCTACACTTCTGTGGCTATGTCTATGTTCCTGTTTTCTCCCAATACCATTTGACTAGACTCAACTCAATAAATTCTAGTCCAACTACATCGATCCAAGTTGACAAATATATTAACGTTTACCATATATTGAAGCGTCTGATTTTTAGGAGTTGATTATTCAATACAGACATAAACAATGGTTCTCCAAAATGTCAGACTTGAAAATAAGGAGGCTCAAAAGATTTTCCGATTATGAAACTAGTTCCTTCAATTTATACCATTTCAAATTTTATCCATGTCAGTTAATCGCTATCATTACTTGTGCTCTCTTTGTTATTTTCCTAGTAAGTTCACTGTGATTGCCAGTTTTGTACAATTTCTGAATTGATTAGGAGATACCATTTGTTTTTCCTTCAGGCTGAATCCTATGATTGCATCCTTTGCAGGCAGAGTGCAGGCTGAATGGGAAACCAATATATGTCCTCGTGGAGCCTCGCCAATAGATAATTCTTTTCTTGGTAATTCTCTATTGTGCTTTTAATTTTCTCTTGCTCTATATACGTGCCATGGGCATGCTTCTCTTTACCTAGTCATCCTTTAACACAAGCTACATTTTGTACATGGATCTAGACGTTTGGTACTACTATAACGCATTTTGAAGCTTGCCATTATCTTCGTGTGGATAGGGTGGTCTTTTAGGAGCTAAATGGAGAATTTTCTGGTGGACTTGCCATTAGCCTCGAACCCCCCCTCGGATAAGCCTGAGAACTGCATGAAAGAGTTGGGGAATATTTTTTTGAGAAGTCAAGAATTTGAGGGTGATCAGTAGAGGTAACCAGGCAAACGGTAACGTATGCTATATGTAATGTGGCTCTCTGAGGTCCCAACATGGCTTTCAGAAGTCTATGCTCCACAGTTTTCGGCCTCTCCCAACATGAAGCTAAGTTCAACTTCAGTTTCCGTTAGTATGAGATTTGCTTTGCGAAGTCATTGTCTCTCTCTCTCTCTCTCTCTCTCTCTCTAGCTAGTTCAAGCGCTCGTGGAAAATTTTATAACTCTTTTATGTAATACTTATGTGATTTTAGAAAAGAATGGATATAGTGCTCTGAAAGTATCTGGCTAATTGTTTATAAGAATAGAAGTCTGATCTCTATTCTGTCGTAGCATGGCGTATTATGGGCTTTATTTTTATTTTTATTGGTTTAATGGTAATGGTGGGTGGAACAATTTATGCGCATTTTAACTAATAATCTTTTCTGGATTTGTTAAAGACAAGCTATTTATGTCGAATAGGGTGTTCATGAAAGATTAATTTCTCATAACCTAAATTTAAGGAATTGTTAATATTCAAATTCAAGACGTTTGAATTTACATACTGTCTATATTATCACTTAAGTTGCCCTTTAGCGTGTGTTTAGTTTAAGCATTAGGAAGAGTCGGATTAAATAATGTTGTACATCTTTTATCCATTCATTCGGCTCTTGGACTTATCTCATGTTTGGTTCAAGTATTAAGAAATAACGAGTCTCACATTTATCCAATTCAATATTTTGTTTAGATTGAGTATTGAATGATGGTATAAACATTAAATTGTTAAAGAACTCTCAAGATAAAGAATAATATTTATATCCTCTCACATTTATCCAATATATTTTGTTTGGATGTAATATTGAATGATGGTATAAATATTAAATTACTAAAGAATTTTCAAAATAAAGAGTGATATTTATATCCTATAAATATTTAAGGATAAAAATATCTTTTGGCCTAATACACCCCAATTGGAATATTTAAACCCACTAAAAAGATGAATTTATTTAAGAGATTGTATGTAGTATTAAATATACTACTCATTTGGACCGATATTATATTTAGGTGATAATACCAGGTTCAAATGTATATACAAATATAAGTATAAGAGGGGTAAAGTAAGTCTGACGTTATTTTTTTCACTCTCTCTTTGTTAATACCTAAAGCATATACACCTTTATTTTTTTACGACACTTTGGTTTCGGTGCCATTCACCTATTTTTTTCAGTCACAAAGTGACATGGGTTAAGAATAATTAAAATCAAAATTTATGATAGGGAATTATTTTTTGGTGTAGCATAGAAAAGATAAGGGTTAATCTCAAATTACACTTTGAAAAATCGTTCGAATCTTAATTTACACTTTCAAATATCAAAAATCTTAATTTGTACCATAAAATATAGAAATTTATACCAATGCGCACCTCAAACTACCTATCGCCAGTTTGCTGTTTAAAACTAAATAGATAAATTATATTTAAACCCTCTCATGCTTGTTATTTAATCATCTAGATCTCTCATATTTAAAATTTTACATTTACATCTTTTGAGAATCCAAATATGACTAAAAATATTCCTCCAATTGAACATTCAAATAATTTTGTTTATGTGATGTATTGCATTTGATATAAAAAAATATTATATAAATATTTGTATTATACTAGACATTCAAATGGTAAGTTTGATTTTGAACTAGTATAATGGGTCTACAAAATAAAGAGTAGTATGAAATTATAATTTTTTATTATGATGAAAATCATATTTTTTAACGATTATATTAACAGATATCATCAACAAGGAGTCATGTGTTACACGTGCACAAACGTCAAGAGATTAGAAGTAATATTCTAAATGTGAGGAGTCCAAATAATTAAGTGACAAGCCTCAGAGGATTTAGGTATAATTTATCTATTTAATTTTAGATGACAAGCTGACTATTGCTAGTTTCAGGTGTACATTAATATAAATTTCTATTTTTGAGAGTGTAAATTGAGATTCAAACGATTTTTTAATGTGCAATTTACAATTAACCCAAAATTTGATAAATTTTGATATCTCGTTGGGTCCAAGGCTCCAAGGATTCACTACCATAACATAGTCACTTACACTTTGAGATTGATTTTATCCATATCTTTATTATTCGAATCTCAATAAAATTTGTTTTAATTACCTATGAAATCTGTAAATTGTACCCACAATTCGTTCTCTAAGACCATACTATAATAAGAGGGTTACACTCTAGTTTCGAAATTTATTTTTAATATTATATCTTTCTTTTTTAATCCAAATAATGACTCTTGAAAAATTATAATATTTTATTTCAACAATCACACTACAAATTCTGTAAACTAATTTTTTTTTTTTGGATTAATCTCGACTTGCACCTTGGAAGGTCATTCAAATTTGAATTTGTACTCTTAAAATTTAAAAATATTAATTTATACCCTGAAAGACATAAATTCGTATCAATGTGCACCTAGCCTAACTCCATTTATTTTGTTGTTGAAAATATTTGGACTAATTATAAAATATATCCCTCAAAGTTTAAATATTTCTATTTATGATCTAAAAAGAATTTTATTCATTAATGCTTGTATCGTATTATAATATCTTCGTGTCATATTCGAGTTAATAAAAAAATATTTTTAAAACTTAAAAAAATTATTATTTTATTTTTTTTACCTATAATACTCGTTAAATAGTTATTTTTTTATCAACAATTAGACACAAATTTTTTGATTGTTCGATCAAATTAAAGTTAGATACGAATAAGACAATTGTAAGACATAAAATAGTCGTTTAATGAATATAATAGACAAAAAAAAGGTATTTTAATTTTAAAAAAATATTAAATAGTATTTTATGAATTTTTGTAAATGTAAAAATATATTATACAACACAATTGACTCGACACGAAAATATTTTGTGTTAAAAGTATTTTTTAATTGACTCAAATACGACACGAAAATGTTATGACATGATACAATTGAGAGTTATTTAACTAGCATTAATGGATTAAATTCTTTTTGAATTATAAATATGAAATATTTAAACTTTGGGGGTATAATTTATAATTAATTGAAATTTTTTTAACGGTAAAATAGATGACAATTAATTTTAGGTACACATTGATATGTATTTATATTTTGAGGGTAGAAATTAATATTTTTAAAGTTTAAGAATATAAATTGAAATTCGCATAATTTGCGAGGTGGAAGTTGAGATTAATCCATTTTTTTTTTCCGTTACTTTATCCTATTTACTTAAAGCGAAGAGTCGGAGTTCTCTTCTTAAACAGGCTCCACGGCAAACCGCCACAAACCCAAGTTTACTTCCTTCCGTGAAGCCTTGATACACTACCATCTCCCCAAATTAAGCTTGTTCCACTCAAAACCCTAACCCTAACCCTAACCCTAACTTCCACAGAGAATCGATTGATCAATCAATCGTTGTTAGGTTCAATTCAAAGTTCTCAGAACACAATCAATCGTTGGTCGTAAAAATCTAACACCATGGTGTTGGCAGAGTTGGGGGGGAGCATTTCTCGTGCTCTCCAGCAGATGAGCAATGCTACAATCATCGACGAGAAGGTTCTCGCCGAGTGCCTCAACGAGATCACCCGTGCTCTTCTTCAGGCGGATGTTCAGTTTAAGCTTGTTCGCGATATGACGAACAATATTAAAAAGATCGTCAATCTCGACGATCTCGCGGCTGGACACAACAAGCGTAGGATCATCCAACAGGCAAGCTTTTATTCTTATACCAGATTCGTATCTTTTCTCTGTATCCTCTGTTTGATTGCAGCAGTGAAATTGAAGGGTTTTTTTTTTTTTTTTGTGGTTGCTTGCGAAATTAAGGGAAATTAAAGGAAATTTGTAGCTTTTAATCTTTCTTTCACGTTGTTTTTGCTCCTAGTGGATTACAAATTGCCCCTGAACTGAGACAAAGGTTGATGTAGGCTCGGTTAGGTGGAGATTGCTGTGCCCTTGGCATGTTAATTGACCTGGGAATCTTGGGGTCATGGGGCAAAAAGGACTAAGACAATCTTATTTGTTTGATCAAACTGTTCACTCATGTCCTTATGATCGGTGGAATTATGTTCATGTAGATTGAAAAGTATTTTGTTTGATACATGGAGTCCATATGTGTAATGAAAAAGATACTCCACAAGCCTAAAAGAATTTACTTGGAAGTTGACACTTCACTCATCACATTCTTGTTAGTCTATCATTAATTTTGTGTATTATCAAGTTTTTATAAATCCATTTTGAAAGTACTCTCTGCCCTTCTAGCGATGGAGTTTGATATAAGAATAAATTGTTGCCTTATTCTGATTTACCACAAGTTTTTCCTTTTGAAACTATTTATTCTTGATGTATATCAAGAGGAAAGGAAGGAACAAAACTAGTATTTTGATAGTGGAATTTAAATTGACAAGGTAACCAAAATTCAAAGCAAATAATGGGATTTTAATCTCATTATTATCATGTTTTGGCGTGAATTCTAAAAGATATGTCCATATTAAGTTTTCTCAAGCTGTATTTCTTTCTACTAACTAAAGCTGTGTTTGTAGCACACTGTTTTTTGGCAGTCTGTTAACTTTCTTTGCCCTTGTATTCTTCTAGCTTAAAGAGATCGTAATCATTTTAACTGTCAATCAAAGATCTGTTGGTATCCTTCAATCTGTGCCGTTCTTGATTTCTTTGTATGCTTGTGTGCTGTTGTAAGAGGTTTTCTTTGATTCTAGGCCATATTCAATGAGCTCTGCAAGATGTTGGATCCTGGGAAGCCTTCATTCACCCCAAAGAAAGGGAAAACAAGCGTGGTCATGTTTGTAGGTTTGCAAGGTATGTTGCTGTCTTCAGGTTATCTTAGATTGTGGTTATATTTCATTGATATGTCATACCAGAGCATGTATTTGATTATGGGTAAGCTGGAATACCTATGGCCTCGACTCTGAACTCTTGCTTATCTGCTTGCAAATATTGTCAGGGTCTGGGAAAACAACAACATGTACGAAGTATGCATTTTACCACCAGAAGAAGGGCTGGAAACCTGCTCTGGTGTGTGCAGATACATTCAGAGCTGGTGCTTTTGACCAGTTGAAGCAGAATGCCACTAAAGCCAAAATTCCATTTTATGGGAGGTATTTTGTTTCCGCAAATTGTTTGTTTGATATTCTCTAGAAGCTTGGTAGAATTGTTATTTGATTAGGTTTTGTTTCAAATAATTGGGAGAGTTTGTCCAAAAATGAGTTTAACAGACCCATAGCAAGAAGATAAAATGAGAAGAAGAAAAGGAAAAAAGCGGGTGGTGACTCAGACAAGGGAGATTCAGTTGTATCTTTCCATGACTGTCAAAAGAGTACGCCATTCAGCTCAATAGGATGAATAATAATTTTGAAGCCTCTGCAATTCAATTTTCAGTACAAGATAAGCTTTTAAAGATATCTTGATGAAGTGTAGAAGGGAAACTAGAGAAGTGCTTCAGACTGCAATCCCTTCATTGAATTTCCTTTTGCGGGTGACTCTGATAGAGGAAATTTGACTGTATTTTTAGCATGAGTTTGCCAACAGCGTAATCAACTCAACTCAACAAATAAATACATCATTTTAATGACTCTGCAACTGAATTTTCAGTCTGCAGTCACTTTGGGTGTATATTTTTACCTTTCAGGCTCCTCAATAAAGAGCCAACTAATAGTTAACCATTATGTTCTCTCATGACTCTCATCCTATCATGGAATAGAATACCATACCTTGTCTATGTCAAAGGCACTTTGGTTGAGAAGGATTGATGTGCAGGTTTGTCACTTTATTTGGTCCATGACATGGAGGGTTGGACGAGAGGTTCACTTTGGTTGAGAACGAGTGCATTCAGGTTTGTCTCATTCTTTGGTCCATGATATTGAGGGTTGGACGAGAGGTACATAAGAATCAGTTTTCAATGGATGAAGATAGGTATAAGAACTTCTTTACTGGTGAATTGGAAGAAAGTTTTGAGGCTTAAGCCTGAATGTGAACTCGGTGCGTGTTTTTGAATTTTTCTTGGAATGTCTCTCTCGGAAATGGCTATCAAGTGTTTGGAGGTTCAAGATGGTTGGTTGGGTAGAGGGCATGATTTGATGACTACTTTGCTGCAGGAGAATCCGATTGATTTGACTATGGATGTTTTAATGATTTTGGTGGGTTTGAATCAAAATCAAAATAATTTTCTATTCTTATTCCTTTGGATATCTTTTGAGATTTGAAATGGATGGTGTGAGTTTGTCAAATGCTCGACAAGCTTCTACATTAGCGGTGCATAAACCCTGTTCCTCAACCAAGTTTGGTTTGATCTGCAATTCTGCATTTTTTATACCATTTAGGTATCATAGACCGAGAGGAGGTTTTCATTCCTTACTCTTTTCTTTCTTGTATTTTCTGTCCCACAGCAATTAGGTATAGAGAATCTGTATCAAAATTTTATGGGCTTTTAATGATGCTCTTATCTAGCTGAGTACCCCTTAAGTTCAGACTTGATTAAATCACTAAATTTTAGGAATGGCGTTGTTTGTAGCTCATTATACTGTGTGGCCTTCGGCATATCAAATAATTATCTTGTTGGGTCAACAGCTACATGGAGTCAGATCCTGTGAAAATTGCAGTGGAAGGTGTAGAAAGATTCAAGAAAGAAAATTGTGATCTTATCATTGTTGACACAAGTGGGCGTCACAAACAGGAAGCAGCTCTCTTTGAAGAAATGCGCCAAGTGTCTGAAGCAACGGTATATTTCTGGTATTTTATTCTCCACGCATCATGCTACTTCTGTTAACAAATCTTAATGCCTTACATCTGAATCTTCCAGAAACCAGATCTTGTTATATTTGTTATGGATAGTAGCATTGGTCAAGCTGCATTTGATCAAGCTCAAGCATTCAAGCAAAGCGTTGCCGTTGGAGCTGTGATTGTTACTAAGATGGATGGTCATGCGAAGGGTGGTGGTGCTCTTAGTGCGTAAGTCTTAGTTCTATGCTCGTAGCATCACTACCTTCTATTGTCAATTCTTAAATAACATTCTTTTAGCTTTACGTTTCTGCTTCTGGATGTTATGCATTTACTTATGCAGACTTTGATATCTGGCAAATCAACTATGAGTTTATGTGGCCTTTTTTTCTAAAATAATGAACTGTATCAATCAAGACTCAAGAGTTCTTACTTGCATTAACCAATAACTTGTAAAGTGATATATGCTCAATCTCTCAAGGTATGATGGAACACCTGCGGCTTTAGGGATGTAAATAGGGTCTGTTTATATGATGCAGGCTCTATATGCTGCAGTTTTGTGTGGGAGATCGCAGTCACCCTTTTGGCTTTTCCAGATTGATGCTACACTTAAATGTTGAGTTTTATATAAACAGAAGTTTTTGCGGCCATTTTTTTTTCCTCCGTATGCACCACATTCATGAATTTTAGCATTTTAGAGCCATTGGCTTAATTATAAAGAGTGGATATGCATCCAGAAAACCTTTATTACTCGGAATGAAGCCTCAATTCTTCGAACCTGGCAATTTGATTCAAAAAATTTTCAGAACCATATGTTTTTTTTCCCTTTTTTTGTGATTTGTATTGTAAGGGGAATGAGTTTCAGCGACATGCAATGATGATTGCCTTAAAACACTTGTTGTGCTTGAAAAGCATTCTTTGACAGAAGTTAAGGAGTAAGAATATTTGAATTGCGTTTAATGTGTCATTTATTGTATTATTAAGGTAAAAAATTATTTGGGACATATAAAGTTTTAATGTTATTTCGTGGTGTTAACTTAGAATTTTGATTATCTTATGCTCTCTTATGTGCAGAGTTGCTGCCACAAAAAGTCCTGTCATATTTATTGGAACTGGAGAACATATGGATGAGTTTGAAGTTTTTGATGTTAAACCATTTGTCAGCCGTCTTTTAGGTTTCTATCTCCATCTCTCAATCACATGCTTATTATTCTTGTTAATCGTTTCAAGTTATATTACTTTTTGAGGCCCTTCTGACATTTAGAGCGTCTTTATTTGGAAATTTCTATTTGAGTAAGGCATGGGTGACTGGTCTGGATTTATGGACAAGATTCATGAAGTTGTTCCAATGGATCAACAGCCCGAGCTTCTGCAAAAGCTTTCCGAAGGAAGCTTCACCTTAAGGATTATGTATGAGCAATTTCAGAACATACTCAAAATGGGTCCTATTGGCCAGGTTTGTCACCTACACATGTATGATTGAAGTTTCACTGCTATTTGCAGCATTGCATGCTGTTTGTAATTTGTGAACCTTTTTACCTATAAGAAAGCTTGATGAACATTGCGAGAAAAAATTGGGTGGTGGGGGTAGGGTGGTCCCTGGCTAAATCCCCTTGCGTATTATTTTAGTCAGAAGATGACAATGAAGAGGATAGCTGATGTTTGTGACATCACTTTTTAGATTGATCTAATACTAGCAGCTCAACTACTGTCTAAATGGAGATTTATCAGAAAAAAAGAACTGTTGTCGAAATGAAAGTAATGGGACTTGGGAAGGAGTTGGATGAATTCTTGCACCGAATACCAGAAATTGAAAATTCCGTTCATTATTTATTTTTGACTTATAGGATTTTTTTTTGTTATTTTAAGATTTATCTTTACTTTGTAATAGAGGTATATTTGGGATCTTTGATTTAGGGCTTTTGGTTCTCTAGATAAAGGCATCCATGAATTGGTTTTAAGCTGACTTTGATTATCAATTGATTGAGATACTGCTTTTCTCCCTAATTTTTTCCCATCTTAATTATTCTCTTCTTCTTAAATCTTATTTTCACTCTCATTTCTTCTTCCTGGTCTACAACAATATTAGAGCTAATCTGATCTACATCAGGATTCTTCATTTGTCCACCAATTAATGTTTTGTCCTGCTATATGTGTTTGTCTGATTCTCCTATTTGTTAATTTGTCAGTGACTCATGCATGATTCATTTGAACTCATCTTCTGTATTTTGGTTGTGGGTACAAGTTATCAGTTTTCTCCCCTTTTGGCTAGTTATTTATGAAGATCAGCTTTTTTTTCAATAAACTTGTTTAACAATTTAGTTGCTTGGACTTTGCAGGTTTTTTCAATGCTTCCAGGATTTAGTGCAGAGTTAATGCCAAAAGGCCGTGAAAAAGAAAGTCAGGCGAAGATCAAACGTTACATGACCATGATGGATTCGATGACAGATAAAGGCAAGTAGTGATATTTTATGGAAATTACTATGATGTTAACTAGCCCGATTACAAATTCTAATATCTAATATATTTGCAGAGTTGGATAGTCCCACTCCGAAGATCATGAATGACTCAAGAATCATGCGGATAGCAAGAGGGTCTGGCCGTCAATTGAGGGAAGTGATGGAAATGTTGGAAGAATACAAGCGACTTGCCAAGATTTGGAGCAAGATGAAAGGGCTTAAGATTCCGAAGAAGGGAGAGATGAGTGCCTTGTCCAGAAATATGAATGCACAACACATGAGCAAAGTTCTTCCCCCTCAGATGCTGAAGCAGATTGGTGGCATGGGTGGCTTGCAAACCTTGATGAAGCAAATGGGTTCTGGGAAGGACATGATGGGCATGTTTGGAGGTGGGGATAAGTAGTATTTTTTTAGCTGACAAGAAGTTGCAAATGGCAAGCTTAGTTCATTATTGTATGCGACCCCAAACAGACCCTACCCGGTGGAATGAAAAAATGATCCAACCTCCAAACTTGATTCATTGCTGACCACTATTTTGCTAGTAGGTTTTTTCTTTCCCCGAAGACTCGGAGAACCATTGTATTTGCTTCTTTTTTTGGCTTTGTCCAATACCTAATGTTCTCTTGTAAGTTTTTTGGTAGCTATATTATGTGATTGGGTGATATCAATAAAATTGAAGGGCAAGTTTTATTGAACAGCTACAAGCACAACAATGTTGTATGAGGCAGAATGTTGGGCAATTGGGAAACAACATAGTGATAAAATCTGTGTAGCGGAAATGAGAATGTTGAGGTGTATGTGTGAAAAAATTAGAAAAGATAAAATAAAAAATGACCGTATCAGAGAAATAGTATGAGTAGTTTTAATTGAGGATAAGTTAAGAGAAAATAGATTAAAATAGATTGGTTATGTTCAACGGAGGCCAATAGAGACATTAGTTTGAAAAAGTGAGATAATCTTTCTTAATGGTATTAAGAATAAAGGTAGATCTAAATTAATATTAAATAAAATAAAAAAAAAGATATAAAAATATTTAACTTAAATGAGCGTTTGCATTATCGAAATAAATGGCGAAGACGGACTCACATAGTTGATCTTAAATAATTGGGAAATAAGGCTTAATTTAGTTTGATTAATGATGTAATATTATAAGAATTAACACAAAATTAAAATTAATACTATTATTATCAAAACTTTCCTATCAAATGACGTGAAATATTTATTACCTCCACATAACAGGAGTCTTATTAATATTCAACTATAGTTTTTTTTTTTTTTGGGTCATACAATAATTTCTTGACAGTTGACCGGGATGCCTAGTTTAAAAAGAAGAGACCCACCATCTATGTATAGTGCCTTTAGACACGTGATATAGTGCGAGTTTAAGCTTTTAGTTTAGTACGTGTCCGAGTTATGTACTTGATTATTTCGCATTCAAATTCAATGTTCAATTTTTTTTAGATATACTGTGTTTTCAGACACGAGTTATCCCTAATATATATATAATAAAGTAGTTTATAATTCAAATTTTAAAAGATAAATAAAATGACTTTTGTTATTCGCAGCTGAAATTATTTTAAATTTTATTTTAAAATTAATCTAATGGCTAATATTAACACTCTAAATTTAATAGGAAAAATAAATCCCTAAGGATGTGTTTAAAGTGACTTTTTAAAAATTATTTTTCATAAATACTTTAAAAAAAAAGTGTTTGAAACTACCCCACCACTACCTCTACCACCACCACTACCACTGCCACCACCGTCACCGCCACTACCATCGCCGCCACCACCATCGTCGTCGCCCATCCCCACCATCCACCGTCGTCGCTACCACCACCGCCACTGCCACCACTATAGCCACCATTGTCGTTGTCGCCGCCACCACCACCAGCATCATCGTCGCCACCACAATTATTGTCACCTACCACAACCAATACCGTCTCTTACCACCATCTCTCACCCCACTATAAATCGATGTTTAAATTCTTTTATCTTTTTTCTTTATTTGTGATTTGATTTTGAATATAAATACAAATATGTTTATATATATTGGTGCTATTAAAGATAGGAGATACAAGTAACTAGGGAAAGACAAAACAAAACAAATAAAGGGGGTTCATCCTGCTCAACCCAGAGCATGGTTATTGTCTAGATTAACTTTGCCACTGGCCGCATACCAGATGTCGTCTCCATCTAGCTTCCCATTGTAATTCATTTTGAGTCCCCATCTGGTGAGTTCATGAGCTGTAGTGTTTGCCAATTGGTATGCGTGGATCATTGCCCATTCCTCGTGTTGTGTGAACAAGTACTTGACGGCTTAAATGATAAAACTAATAGTCCATTGAGACTCAGCTTGGGAGTCCCCATCTGCTATTCTTGTTGCAAGTGCTTTAGCAATTAAGGGGTTTGTGTCTGAGTCGCTCTCAATTACAGCTCCTAATACTGTTCCATCTGGTTCCCTTGCAATTGCTGCCTGGCATGAGCTATTTGGACCAACTGCTACATCAACATTGATTTTGATCTCGCAATCTTTAGAGGGAATCTAGTTGAGCTGATGTTGATTTGGTTGTTCCAGTGGTTGGACTGCTTAGGTTGAGGTCTAGTTCCCTCGAATTCCATGTACATCTCAGGTAAGGAAATCTGTGTCTGATTGAATTGGAGTTTGTTGCTCCATTTCCAAATGACAGTGACAAGGATCACAATAAATCGATTCAGGGGTTCTTTGCTTCTATTGGAGGAGCCAAAGAGGATTGTAGGATTAAGGATGTTGTGCACTCATTCTTGTACTGTGAAGTGGTGGAAGGAGTTTGTCCGCAATCCCCAGCTTGTAAACCATATTGCTCTTGCCAAAGGGCAAAGGACAAAAATGTGCTCTGCAGTTTCTAGGCTTGAATTACACGTAGGGCAAAGGATATCTGAGATGTGGAGTCTGGAGGTTTTTTTGTTGGTATGCATTCAGAGGCTAACCTCCGAAGGATTATCTTGTGTTTCTCAGGCAATTTAGTAGTCCACAATTTGTTCCAATCCACTGGTTCTAGGTATTGGCTAGTCAAAATCTGATATTCTCTTGATAATTTGTAGGCTGACTTTGTGTCAAAATCCCTTTTCTTGGATGGGATCCATATCATTTGATCATCTCTTGGGAAGGTTGGTAGATTTATGCTTAGTATTGGTTGAACCGTGCCAAGAGAAAATAAGGCAGAAAGAAAGTCAATGTTCCGTGTGTTGGACTCTTGATCTATCCACTCTGCCACTTCAACTGGTAAATGATCAATATCCTGCTCCAGTTTAACTCTGAAATAGTGCAGGTCAGGTACCCAAGAGTCTGTCCAAATATTGATCTTGTGCCCAATGCCAACTAGGTAACATGCTCCCTTTTCTATTATTAGGACTTGTTTGAATGAATTTTGTGAAAGAGTTTGGATTAGTTTCTCCAAACCCTTTCAAACTCAAACCCCTGTTTGTAAAGATGAGATTCAACATTCAATCTGGTCCATATCCATGTTTAATATATAACACATAAGCATGTAGGACCCACGGATATATTATAATTATTAACAACTATTTATCCTATAAATGACTATTTTACCCTTAATTATCCAATTCATACCCATGTTAAGGGGTTCAATTATCTTTTGGATCCTTAACCCCTTACCCATCTTCCCAAAACCACCCTCCTCTTAGGTCAACTACGGGCCGAGTTTAGAAACTCGGGACTGAATTTTTCATACAAACATGAGATTTTGAGGAGCTTTGGACTATTTTCTTCAAACCCATCTTGCCAAGCCCCTTCATACCCCTTTACCAAACAACCGGTTAAAGGTTTGCATTTCAGGATATGCCTCCATATGGGGGAAGCACCATACTGTTTCTAAACATAGAAAAAACTAGATATTGAATAGTATTTTCTTGTAAGTTGAGAAATCAAAAACTGGAGTTTCCTGAGATCATTTACCATTCTGAATTTGCCATAAGTGACTTGTTTATATCCCGAGTCTTTCTAAAACCAAGTCCACCTACCCCTTGTAGCCTGCACATATAGTCACTTGACTTAATAATCAATATAATTATTTGATTAGTTGTGATTTTTGAGGTTACATAGAGTTCACTTTTAATCCAATAACTACATTCAATTAGGTCTCTAAATTGAAAAATGCTAGTTGATCATAAAAAATTGACTTGATTTGTTAATTTGATGAATCACAATCATTATGTAGGTAATGGGTCCCAGTATGTATTGGAACCTATAGTTAAATCAATAACAATTATTATTCAAGTCAGTATTTTAAATTCATATAGCATACTCCTCTAAATTAGGTTTAAATAATATTTTCTTATATAGCCAGTGAGATGATAAATGTTTCAAGTTTAGGTCTTTGGTAACAATTTACAAAGTGAATTTGAAAGGCTCAGTATTTATCAAAATTTTCGAAACAAATGATGTGATACATTTATTATCGCCACATAACTTGTGTCTTATTAATATTCAACTATATACATATACTAGTTGTCACCCGTGTCTAAATGTACGGAGTAATAAAAAAAAGTCAACAATAAATATATTTGTATTCACATTCAAAATCAAATCACAAACATAGATGAGATAGAAAAAAATTTAAACGCCGGTTATAGTGGGGTGAGCAATGATAACGATGGTGAGCGGCAGTGGTGAGTGGATGGTCTGAGTGGGTCTCCAAAATATGTCGTGCGTTGTTGAAGAAGGTCTGTCTATCGTTGGAGTTTGCACAGAGAGACGAGAGACTGAGGAGGATGACAATAATTTCTGAGAAACTAAGAGAGGTGAGACGGTTAATGAGGGAAAGAGAAAGAGTTTGAGTTGTGTGTTAGACAAAATGGGTAGCATGTGGGTGTAGTTAAATTGGGTGGAATTCAGGGGCGAAACCACCCTTGGACCAGTGTGGGCAAGTGTCCCCCTCAAATTTTTTTTTTTTTTTTTGACATTAGATATATGTTTTTCAAAATAAAATTTATATATATTTAATTGTGCCCACCCTCAATTTTTTTACAATAAATATATACTTTTTAAAATAAAATTTAGACATATTTAATTGTGTCTACCTTATTATTGTGATATCGATTAAGATAGACGACTACTTAAATAATAATTAACTTTTAAATAATGTTATTGAAACTATTACATTATGATATTAAATCTAATAGTAAGTCCTTACATTTAATAACGTCTGCTATCCATTCAATGGTCACAAACTATTGAGTTCCTACCAATTAAATTTTAATTTTTTTTTTAGTCAAGATATAAAATTAAATTTCGAATTAGATGCAATTACTATTATTCTTAAATTTTTAGACACAGATATGACTGAATAATTTTTAGACATATCACGTTCATTTTTTAAAATTATATGATTATTTTATTATTGTATAAAAATGAGTGTTATAATGTAATAAATTACAGGGTAATAAATGAAAGACTGTTACTACCATTTTGTATATAGAAAAAAGTATTTATTGAAATCATTGATTTGTAATTCTTTTAAATGTTAAACAATAATCAGATTTAATTGTAAAATGATAATAATTAGTCTTATATGAAGTTTTAATTAATTTACTTTTATTTTTGTTTGGTCATTCAATGCAAATCGTTTTTTAACCTATTATGTTTAATGATTTTTTACGTATAATTATAGTAAATATGAATTTA